AGCTTCGTTGCGACGCTCAGCTTCTTGTGTGTGCGGTCTTGAGTCGCGCTGACAATGGTTCTGCACTTCGAGCTACGCCCTCCAACCTAGAGCTTTCGTCACCTCCCCGCGGGTCTCAAGTTTGATCTGTGGTATGCCACTGTGAGCACGGTGATATAACACCACAACGTACCATTCAATGTCCAAACATATGGCACATGCAGTTCATGGAATATGTGGTAGATTACAGAGTTTCGGGTTTGGTAAGTTTGGGAGGCGCGTCAACTTCGTAGGACCCTTCCGCAGCATGTCCTCTTTCTCTGCGGCAGGATGCGGAGCCAGATGCAGAGGCGGGAGGGTTGAGGGCTTGTCGTTTTACGGGTTTAGGGTTGATGACTTATGGGTTCACTGCGAATGAAACCCCTGGATGAAGGAATTGCACGTCAGAGACTACAGGATTGACATTCATCGAGAACTGTGTTCTCACAATGCCTGCAAAGGAATTAAAAGCTACCATAGCACGGATCTTCTCTAAGGCCTTCCAGCTCAGAGAACTACCAGGAAGCACGTTGCGAATGCCCAAGGACACCATGAAAAGGATCACCCAACCGAGTAAAGGAGCTCGAAGAATGTGTCGAAATGTCCTGATCTTTGCTGAGAGCGATTGGGAGGGATAATCGAGAACATTGAGACTCATGTACCCAAACAGGGGGAGCCGAATTGGACATGATATGGATTTGGAAATGAGGAACCCACTTCCCAACTCTAACCGGCACGAACCAACCAGTTGCAGATAGAAGCCGAAAGTATCCCAACATCATCGTGCCCCCATTGTTGCGGAAGCATAAACTGTAGGAGAACATTTGCAAAAGCTCCGGACATGACCCAGCTTCAACAATCCACAGGCTCACCCAATCCAACCAAATGAAACGAAACACATACTACCAAACGTTGCAAATGAACTTGGACGTCATGTGTTGGAGGAGGAGGGGGAGGTGGTGGTTCGCACGGCATCAAGCCTTACTCCCACGACCGATGGACGCGACAATTGTGTGGAAATGATGTACCTTCTTCATTTGTTGTTTTCGTTGAACTTCAGCACGGAAGAGTTGTAGTTGAAGTGAGCGTACTTGAGCTTCTTTGGCAAAAGCATCCACCTGATTGTTATGATGCGCCATCCATTTGGACACTGGGCCTGTCAGCAAATGGAGACGCTGATGACTATTGACTTTGCCCGCCTGCAAAGATCGAAGCCCATTGCAAACGCAAGGGTTGAGGGCTTAGGGGTTTCGGATTTCCGCATTTCGCCACAACCTGATTCTAACCTTCGCTCTTTTGCACAACGTGGTTTTTGGCCCGCACATCAAGGCAACGTCCTTCTTCCTGAAGCGTGAAGGCTTTGAACTCTTCCAGACAGTCGCGGCAAGTGATTCTGCTGGAGGGAGCGGCTGAAAACTGTGCATCAACGCAAACCGTCAGAATAAGAGACCCCTCAAGCGGGTTGATTAGGGATGTGAGAATTGCCGCCCCAACTCTTCGGCTGTTTGAGCCTAGTCACTAGCCTAGTCGTCCCGAAGGCCCGGGCGACGACGCCGGAAAGGACGCGGCCGAGACCGGCTGGATGGAGCTCCGTGCCCAGCCAGGTGGGGCCTGGGCCTTCTTTGTGTCTGTGTTGCCTCGGAGGAATTTGACCAAGGGGAGGGCAGAGGGTTGGGTTTGACGCTGTGTTCCGCAGTGCTCGCCGAGACGAGCTGAGCAGGATGGGGAGCATCGCAGCTTCAAGATGCCAGTGGACCTGGTCATCAAGCACAGGAGGTGGAGAGCTTAGCAGCGCTGGAGCCATGACAAGGCGAACAGAAGATGCATAGACTGCGGTCTACACTTGGGGTGTGTAGTGAGTGTAGTGATCCAACCCAGAATCTTCATGACATGGTCGTGTGATATACAGGTAAGAGGCAGGTTGTTAGGCGCGAGACATGATTCCTCAAGGTTTGCAGCGCTTCTCTCGATCATGCACAGCATGCACGGGTATGGAGTCTTTCTCAAGACAGACTGTTTGCCATCTTTTGCTAGTGCTCTGGCAATGAGTGGTTCTCGTATTTCCTCTTGTGCCCTGTGTGGTGTCAAAAGCAACAGGTCGGATGATGGCACGGAGGACGACTCAATCACCCTGCAAACCTTCGATTTTGCGGGACAGGAGGACATCATTACATTCCTTGGGCTAAGTTGGGACATGTGCACCGCTGGCGGTAGAGAAGATACAGGGTTCATAGCTCACCGGCAAGTCAGGACAGCTGTACCAGTCTAGCAGAGTTGTCGGGATGTTACCTGTGCATCTTTCTGACAAAAGGAATACCACATGCTCCACCACCTCTTCTTGAGTAACAAGGCAAAGAGGGTTCGACTGATATCCGCAGAATCTGCAGATTTTTTGCTTGACAGTTGGGCAGAGACAGCACACCACTATACACCATTCCTGCGCCTCTGCACTACACTGAACTTCTCCAAGGGCTTGTACCTCGTCGTCTTTGACCTGAGCCTGTGGGCCGACGAGTGAAACACTCAGCGGGAAAGACTTAGAACCTGTGTGGCAGGTGCAGGGGCAAGAGATGGAACATTGCTTCTGAGTTTCTAAGGTCCGGCGATGACCGAACATCTGAGGCAAGCAACATACATCTTCTCAGTGTGGTGTCTTTCGCAAGACGAGCTTTGTCAGGAAGCCCTTACTTTCTGGATCTGTTCGGTGGCTTGGGCTGCACGAGCCATCCGTTAGGACAGGCTTTTGGAAGAAGGTCGCGCTGAAGGCTGAAGGCTAGTTGTGCAGTGATGGGTGGTCTGGGCTAGACTCCGATGGTCTTGGCGGAGCTGAGGTTCACTGCCATGCTCCTGAGTCGCGCATGCTCCTGGCATCTTGGCATCACCCATGCTCGCAGGCGTGACAACCAGAACCGCCTATCAGACAGCAGAATGACGAGATGCGGTGGGTACTTTTTAAGTCTACCCCCTAAACCCCAAACCCCAAAGCCTAAACCGCCTTTCATCCAAGGTGGGTACGCACGTGGACATGCTCGGAGCCCACAAGATGGCTATTCTCGACAAGGTCGACCGGCGCATCCACGAGCTGTGGCCCGGACTCCGTCGTAGTTTGGTTCTGGGCTTTGAAGCGTCGTTGAATGCTCATCTAGGTTCACATTTAACTTCGTAAGAGACTCCACAGCTTACTGAAAGGGCTTGCAGAGTTGACGATACCTGCAGCGCCCTACATGTAGTTTTATGCCTTGGTTACAGCGTGGGGCGTGGTGTGGAACATGACAGCATGTGCTGTGTTCATAAGCAGGGGGCTGAACCTTTTAGCTGGCTTCCGTGGGCAGTGTGGCCTACTGCCAAGTGTCGTCTTTTCGTTACCGCGCGCTTGACATTTGAACTCATTGTAATTTCGATTGCTCATCACGGTGTGCTGTAGAATTGACGGTCTGCCCGAGGCTGGAGAGAAACCAAGCGCTCAATGAGCAGCTTGTTGATGCTCAGCTTGACCAGTGATCACAGCTTTTTTGCAGGACTCAGATTGTTCCCGGAGTGCTTTTCCTTTTGAGTTCAGCTAATTCCTGAACTTAGCAGACATGGGCTACAGGGTTCGGCTCATGTTCCAAAACTGATTCCACAGGTGAACACAGCGGAAGAGCTGTGTTTCTTCCCCATCGACAATCGGCGACGCGGCCGACAGTCCGTGGAGTCTCTGCGCGTCAAGATTGATGAGACGGCAGCGGAAGCTTCGCTTGAATCGACGGTTGGTGCGGTTGATGCGGGTCTCCACAAGATCATGACCTTTGTTCCCTATGACCTGCATTCAGAGGTTTGCTGGGCTAGACCTGTGCTTGTGGAGCCGAGGAGATCTGTACAACTGGCTTCTTGTCAAAGGCGCTTCCCCTCTACTGGCTTCGCTACCAGCCGCTTTCTTGCAAGTATATGTTTGCAATGTACCCTTGGCCGTTAGCCCGATCTCGACTTCATAAGAAGTGGCCCTGGTGCGCACCTACAGCAAAACAACTCGAAAGCAGGACAGAGCTGATCCGCTTAGCCCGGGCAGGGCCAGATCGCTTTTGGGGAGCCTCAGATGCAAAGAACCCTAAACCCTAAACCCTAAACGAAGCTAAACCCTAAACCCTGGGGGCGAAGAGCAGGCTCAGCTTCCTTCAGCTGTTGTGCCATAGGCAATTTAATTTGTTTGGCAGCTTGCAAGACGGCTTGATGCCCAGGAACTGCCAGTGTCGAGGGCACCATGCCAGCTGCAGGAGCCCTGTGAATCTTGTGATACTCTTGTGATACTGTTGATTCACTTCCTAGTGCCTAGAGGCCGTTTTGTAAGGCATGGAAAAAGTCTGCAAGCGAACCAAAGACGCGGCGGCTGCCAGTGCCCTCTGCCGGCCTCCCTGCCAGGCGCCTCCTCGTCCGGGCCGCCAAAGCCGGTGCACGCGCTGCCCTTCTCACAGGTGTCCCGTCTGGGCCGGGCGGTCCGGGGGCCCAGAGATGTCGCTGTGTTAGAGGGCTGCAGGACCTGAGACATGTAGACTCGGCTAGTATGCGGAATTCAGAGTGTTCTCGGCTCTTTCCGAAGCACGTGTTGCTGAGCATGCGCCGAGGTTGGAATTCATGACGAAGGCGAGTTACTCTCGGTGTTGATCTACCTACATGACACAGGACCGAGACATCAACTCCTGTGGGGAGCTCCGTATTCATGCTCGTCGATTACAAAAAGCACCTCGCAGGATCCATCATTTTCTTCGACGAAGAGAAGCTGCGGGACTGCGTCGTGCTAGACCCATACTGGCTTGCTGAGGCACGCTCTAAGAGACACGCCCCAAGCCACTACCAGTCCTTCAAAACTGCGGAGGCTGCAGCCAATATCTTCAATTGCCCTCGGGTGGTTCAAGGTCGGTCGGCCTCTGCAAGGCAGGTCCACGGTCCACGCAGAGGGTCTCTCTGGCCCTGAGCCGACATCTCCCTTGAGGCGGCTCCTCGAGCGGGGCGAGCTCCACGTAGACCTCCTGCGACAGCACCTCTGGCGGTCGGAGAGGCGCGTTTTCGGGGGACACGCCCCGATCACACCAATTCCATGCCGTCCCATCTTTGGGTAGTTCTCTACAATAGGTAGGGTCCCTTTCTAGGTCCTCAATATGGTACGGCACCCTTATAAAAACGGACCCCAAAAGGGGCCCGACTTTAGAGAACTACCCCGTTCAGGTTCGTGGACCACATCCCAGTTCTCATCAACTTGATGCTGCGCTTCGATCTCCTGGTCTCCTCCTCGGACCAGGAGAGCCGATGGATCGGGAGTTTAGACCCACCGACCGAGCTGCTCAATGTAGTATGTATGCTATAGTATGCTACGGCATTTCATAGACCATCAGAAGACAAACAGGGGGAAGCCGAAAAAGCACAGAATGAGGACCACCGTGCTCAAGAGAGACTACAAACTTCCAGGAAAGGGAAAGTTTGAGAAGCATGGACAAACCTGTCGAACGGAAATAGAAAAGTTGAGATAGAGGAGCAAACTGCTCGAGAGAGACGAGAAAACTTCTCAAGAGAGCCTGTAAGAACTATGGGCAAAAACCGGTCGAAAGGAAATATAAACTTTGAGAAAGCGGAGAAATCTGCCCGAGTGTAGCTATCTGCTCGAGTGAAATTAAAGAACTTGACAAAGTGGAGACTTCGACAACCATGGGCAAACCGTGCGAAACGGAATCGAAAAGATGAGAAAGCAGAGCAAACAGCTCGAGAGGGGCTCGAGAAATCGACAAAAGAGGGACTCTGAGGACCATTGGCAAACTGGCCGGAGGGGAGTAGAAAAAATTGAGCAAAAGGAGCACACTGCTTGAGAGAGGCTAGGTAACTTGACAAAAGGGAGGTTTTGAGAAACATTAGCAAACCGCTCGAAAGGGAACCAGACAACTGTGAAACGGTTGCAAACTGCTCGAGAGAGACTAGGGAATGTTCCGGAGCAAACTGCCCGGAGAGACTAAGGAATTTGACAAGAGGGAGAAAAGTTGAGAACCATGCGTAAACTGGCCGAAAGCGCAAAGAACAAACAGGAGCAAACTGCTCGAGGGAGACTGGAGACTTTGACAAAAGGGAGAGGGTTTGACAACAGGGAGACTCTGAGAAACATGGGCAAACCGGTCGAAAGGAAATATGAAGTTGAGGAAAGAGATACGACATGCTCAAAAGCGATTGAAGAATTTGACAAGAGGGCGACTTTGAGACACATGGGTAAACCGAGCGCAAGGGAATAACAACCTTGAGAATAGGAGTCGAGAGAGACTAGAGAACTTGACAAAGCGGACAGTGTAAGCAGCATGACTACACGAATTGAGGAGCAGGAGCAAACCGTTAGAACAAAATACTAGATCATTTGACCAAAGTGAGTTACTTGAGAAACCGGCGAGGAAGAGGAGCAAACTGCTCGAGAGAGAGATTAGCGAGTTTGACAAAAGCAAGATTTTGAGAGAGACTACGAGGAACAGGGTCGAAAGGGAGTAGAAACTTTGAGAAAGACGGGCAAAATGGGGCAAACTGCTCGAGAAAGACGAATAATTTGACAAAAGGGAGACTTTGAGGGAGACTATGAGGATCAGGCTCGAAAGGGAGCAGAAATTTTGAGAAGAGCAAACTGCGCGTGAGAGAAAGAATTTGACAAAAGCTTTGAGGGATTCGAAAAGGAGTCGGAAATTTGAGAAAGAGGAGCAAACTGCTCGAGAGAGAGACTAGAGAATTTGACAAAAGGAAGACTTTGAGGGAGACTATGAGGAACAGGCTGGAAACGGGGTTGAAGGTTTGGAAAAGTGGAGCAAACTGCTTAGAGAGACTAGCGAATTTGACAAGAGGAAGATAGACTAGAGAATTTGACAAAAGGAAGACTTTGAGGGAGACTATGAGGAACAGGCTGGAAACGGGGTTGAAGGTTTGGAAAAGTTGAGCAAACTGCTTAGAGAGACTAGCGAATTTGACAAGAGGAAGACTGTGAGGGAGTTTATGGGAACGAAGGCTCGGAAGGGAGTAGAAAAGTTGAGACGGAGGAGCGAACTGCTCGAGAGAGGCTAGAGAACTTGACAGAAGGGAGAGTTTGACGGAGACTATGAGGAACAAGGTCGAAAGGGAGTAGAAAGTTTGCAGAAAAGGAGCAAGCTGCTCGAGAGAGATTAGATGGTTAGTATAATCGAAAGACAGCCCACAAAACTATTCCTGACAGTGGCCGTACAGCCTTGATGCTTTTGCTGGCAGAGCAAATCGAAAAGGCGAGCGTAAGCTTTCGTTGCGGAGAGGATGTCTTCGTCGTGCCTTTCTTGCTGCCCTTCAAGACAGGAGGCCGGACATCTTTAGTAGGGCATTGTCGCAAGTCGAGGGTAGTACTGGATCCTGGGTTCTACACCGGCGAGGGCCCAGAAGTTACTTCAGGGATTTTTTGCTGCCAGGCTACGAGCCCCCCGGCGAGGGCTCCCTTTCCTTCGACTTCCATGGCATGCTCACGAGGTGCCCATTGTTTTTGCAAAGGCTTAGCGCAAAAAGACAGGTATCGATGGTTTCGAAATGTTAGCAGAACTGCTTGTCAGAGAAAGAAGTCGGCATGTGTCCAAGAATCGAAGGTTGCTTCCGACGGTCTTCCCGAGACTGATCGCCAGCGCTGCCAAGCAACCCGGCTTCAATACGTTCGCACCAGCAATACGGTAATGATGCCATGCTGAAAATCATGGCAATCCTAGGGTCCTGGCGCAATGCTTCTGGCCTGTGTCATGCTTTGCTTTATCGATGGTGTCAAAGCTTGCCCGCTTGCCTTGAGGATGCCATCGCTTCGGCTGACGCACTCCCGGGTCTACAAGGCAAAGAGAGCGACTCCGCCCAACGTCCGGGAGCATTGTCCAATGTGCCGAACTCGAAGCAATCGAGAGGACAGCTGCACCATCTTCCTTGGAACACGACGCCTTGCCTTTGAGCTGCTCCCACCGGGGCCTTTTGGCAGCACATGGGCAAGTGCTCTTCTCGAGGTGGTCAGCGTTGGTGGCTTTGTGGCGGACAGCCACCGAGGCGGCCGGAGATGATCGCGGTGAGGCGCCTGGCAGGGAGCGAGGCGCCTTTTTGCAGCAGTTCTCTAGGCCTGAGCCGAGCCTCTTGTCTCGTAGTTTTCGGCAGGATGGAGCCGAGTCGGATGGCGACGAGTCGGGTGGCTTGCAGCTGCCGCTCGACCTCGCGAAGCAGGTCATCAGCCTGGTCCACGCGCCTCGGCTTCGCTTCACGCCTGGCTTGGCCCGGCCGAATATGCGGCTCGTGCAAATCGCTTCTTTGCACTTAGGAGAGCACGTCCGAATGGCTTCCGCACCTGTCGTTTACCGCAGGCAGGGAGGTAAATGTGAGTTTTGGGTCCGGGTCCACCATGGCGGTCGCACGTTGAAGGAGTGCTTTGCCCTCATTGCCACCGCAGCGGGGCTCCGCACGTGATCGATGTCAGTGAACTCTCGGAGGCCAGGTCGAAGCGAGTCTTCAGCGACTGGGGATTTCACTCCCTGACTTAAAGTCCAAAAAATTGACTCAACGGCCGAAATGGCTGGGCAGCCGAGGTCGTGATCTGCAGCCGCACGCACGAGCCTGTGACCCTGGCGAAGGCTGCAGCTGCAGCTGCAGAAATCCCAGCAACCCGGAGATGTGTGGAGATGTCTGCTCTGATCTTCTTGTCGTCACAGGCTGGCTGGGCATTTCGGTGGCGACAAGAGGCTCTGCCCGTGGTTAAAGTTTAAAGTGCAGGGCTTGCTCTTGGCGGGATGTTTCCATGTTTTCGCTCTTCAGGTGCTGACCTCAGGGGGCGCATCCAGGAAATCTAGTGATGTCATACTGGACCTCGATGTCGAGGCACCTGGCTTGACAAAGCCAATGGGTGCATGCGAGTTAATTGCCGGCCTAAGTACTGCTTGAGATGCCTTGAGGGTGTGGGCAGTAGGGCAGCGGTGTGAGGGATGTCCGTGAACCCATCAGGAGCTTCGTCCAACTGCAGCACCCCGGCATTGTGAGATCGGCAACCTCTGGCAGTGCGATGATTCATGGGCGCGGAAGTTGGGTCTGGCTGGTGACGTCTCTTTCTGACTTCTTTCGTCGTTCTCTCTGAGGAGGAAGCAGCGGACCCAGAGCCACCAGAGCCACCGGCGAAGCTCGCGCGGCCACCCTCGCTGCCCGGCGTGGAGCGGCGGACGGTGCCCGGGAAAATCTGGGAGAGTCTGGGCGAGATGAGGGCGAAGCAGGAAAGAGTGAAAGGAGCCGCAGAGAGGAAGCTTTTTCTGCGCCTATCGGAGGTGCCCATCCCCATCGTGACGAGCAGCGAGGCGTTGCCTGCGCCATCTCCCGGCTCGCCTCATCCTGGCGAGGCGCGGCCAAAGCCGTGACGCCGTGCCGTCATGCCGTGCCGTCACGCCGCGGCGTTCCTGTAGGAGACTCCTGCATCTCCGAGCATGCCAGATCAGGCAGCGGACTTGAGATTCTCATGCTCTGTCCTTTGCTCCCTTTGGGCCTTCTGGCATGGTCTTGCCTCTCTAGGTGGGCTTGCTCTACTTCCTCTATGCCTCGCCGTTGACCGTGGACACCATCGACGTCCGCGCAGAGCTTCAGCTGCTGAGGTGCAGGGGCAGCCGTGAGATGCCCTTATGAAGCTATCTTGACCCCTCTCTCTCGAGCCAGGGAGGCGCTGCGTGCTGGGCAGACCACCGGAGGCCCAAAGCGAAGCGAGCGAAGCGACAGGATCTGTCAGAGAGGTGGCGTGGCCCGGAACCGAGGCGATCAGAACGACTTCAAGGCACATTGACAGTCTTTGAGGAATCTAGTTCATGAGCACGGCTTCATGGGTATTGGTATGAGTCAGCCTATGGCCTTCTAGAAGCCGAGACGCGTACCGTGGAAGGTGGAGCTAGACATTCGTCTTGGCCTGTCCTCCACTCTGCTGGCACCTTTGCCGCACACCAGGTACAGTGAACAGCGTAACACCACCACCAACAACAACCACAACCAACAGCAACAACAACAGCCACAGCCACAGCCACAGCCACAACCACAACCACAACCACAGCAACATCCACCACCACCGCCGCCGCCACCCCCACCCCCACCGCCGCCGCCGCCGCCACCACCACCACCACCGCCGCCACCAGCAGCAGCAGCAGCAGCAGCAGCAGCACCAGCACCAGCACCAACAGCAACAGCAACAGCAACAGCAACAGCAACAGCAACAGCAACAGCAATAGCAACAGCAACAGCAACAGCAACAGCAAGAACAATCACAACCACAACACAACCACAACAACCACAAGCCACAACAACCACAACAATTGCGTGGTTCAGACCTTTAGCTGCAAACCTGGCTTCCAGAACCATTACCTGGCAAGGAGCTCCTAGCACATGGCGACAGCGCTTGGCCAAACTCCCCGGTATTCCTTCACTGCGACTCGGGAGCAGCATGAGGACTGCGCTGCGCATCACTGCGTGACGTGTCGCCCAATGGCCGCTCGAGACCATTTGCGATGGCAGTACCAGTCATCGCATGTCATCGCCATGGTTATCACCATCCTTGATGCTGCCGCCTGCCGGTTCCCATCAGGTGCCATGCACGCTGGCTACGCCGCCAATGGCGGGTCGCTCGAGTGCGGAGCCGAGCCACGGAGGGTGCAGAGCCGGCTTAGAGGAGAGCCAATATAACATAATATGTTAATCTATAATATACTATAACATAGTAGAATATGCTATACTATTCTATACTGTACTATACTATACTATACTATACTATACTATACTATACTATACTACCGAGCGGAGGAGAGTCCTGGAACAGCCGGTGCTTTGCACTGAGGCCTTTCCTCCTGCTGGAGGACGAGGCGGGCATCCCCAAGCCGAAGTGGCTCATTCAGCAGCTCACCATGCCTCAACTTGACAACCTAACATTGGATCCTGGGCTACAGCATCCCCTTCATCGCCCCAACTCGCGCGGTAGGTGGGCTGCTCTCAGCCGCTGCCCCGTTGGCGACTGCTGCAATGGCTCCGGCAAAGCCAGGACCAAGGCGGTCCTAAGAGTTCTCGTAGGGCTCACGCTCAGGCTGAGCCTTCGCCCTAAACCCTAAACACTAAACCCGAAACCCCTATGCCCCTAAACCCCTAAACCCCTATACCCTAAACCCTGATGCCTGCAGGCCGGAAGTGTCCGCTCAGCGCGGTGTTTCTGAACTGCTGCGACTCTGAAGGCATTGCAGGCCGGGCTCCGTGTTCTGCGCATGTCGGGTTGATTGGATAAGTATGACAGCTCACAGCTCACGAACTTTTTCAGCCCTTGCACTTCCTCGGGTTCAATTAAAAGTCAAAGTCATCTATGAATCCATGAAGTTGCCCTCCGCTCCTCAAGTGATTCTAAATGCCACAGCCTGGACGTCGGTTGGAGGTGCCTTCATGGAAGCTGGTGTGCCGCATGTCATCTGCTGCCGCGGCCGCGTCTTCGACGGGGCTTGCAAGACCTTCACAAAGGCAGAGTCTCTGTTGAAGTGCCAGCAAACACCAACCAGCTCTGCTCAAGCCCTCGCCAGGCATTATATCGAGCTCTGGCAGCAGGGAGACAGGCGGGCTAAGTCCAAACGTATGTGATCATCTGTCAAGAAGATGCTGCCTGAACGTCTCAACCCGACAAAAGCTCCACATGTGCCCGCATTGGTGTGAGCAGCCTTGACAGGTTTTCTCTGCGTACGAGTATGCACGCGAGAGCGTGGCCACCGCACCGCAGGCGTGGCCGCGTGTCAGTCATGCTTCAGAAATCATGATGATGTCATGATGCCCTCTGTCCGGGGCATCCGTAAAGCGTTCCAATCATTAATTGTGCCCTGCAAAGCCCCAAAATGAACCAATGACGACGATATCTCCATTTCACGAAAGCTCGCGTAGCAGAGCTTGAGTTTAGTCTTGCTTTTAGCAGGGAGGCA